AGACTTACAAATGCATGTCACTGCGGGGGAAGACCGAAGCAGCTGGAGGAAACAAACAGCTACAAACTCAAAAAGAGAAGGTGGTTGGAGAACGTCTTGCTGGTTTGGCTATTATTTCCAACGAGATGTTAAGAATTATGGCAGTGCTGACTGGTGACAACAGTCTGGCTGGCTCAAAGTTTGTCCTCTATGCAAACAATCACATTCCCCAAGCGGATCGCTCATTTGTGCATCTGATAGCATATCTCTACTGACCTTCTTTGGCCACAAGAGTTTCACGCTGTCATGCTGTCCTTTCAACATAATTGGATCAGGAGCTGTTTGATAAGTGTGACGTATCTGACTCAAAACAATGATATGATGCAGTATCAGGGCTGTAGACTTTCTCATATCACTCCTAATAAGTCCTTCAATAGCCTTGGCTAGACTCTCTCCCACGTTAAAAGCTGTACCAAACACACACATCAGAAAACAAACACTTAACTCAACTCAGCCTTTATTTATAAAGCACCTTACAGTCAGGAGCATGCCACCAAGGTGCTGTGCAACAAAAGAGTAAAACAATCAAACATATAGCGCTACAGACATAATTAAAACCACAAATAAGAATTACAAAATATAAAACATTGCTAACCCACAGAATTAAAAGCCAGATCATAAAAGTAGGTTTTCAGCCTCATTTTAAAAACTGCTACTGATGGAGGGTCCCTGATAGTTAGGGGCAGTGCGTTCCACAGTTTCGGACCCGCAACAGGGAACGCCCTGCCCCCTCTTAACTTTAACCTAGCCTTAGGAGCCACAAGCAGCAGCTGGTTCTCAGAGCGGAGTGACCGGGCCGGAGCACATGGCTGCAGCAAGTCCGCCAAATAGGCTGGGGCCACGCCGTTCAGCGCCTTAAACACCATTAAAAGAACTTTAAATGAATTCTAAAATCAACAGGTAACCAGCTGTAACACATCCACTCTGACTGAAGCTACTCTCAACCCACTGACTTGTGTCAGCAAAGATGCTCACTTTTATTATGGGAGGCCTAATCCTCTGATCTGGAGTGTCACGCAGCTTTTACCTGAGTTTGGGTTTTGAGTACTGGGTTCAACAAGTGGTGTTTTGGAAACAGCAGACCCAAAACTAAAAGGAAAAAGATCCAGTTAAATGGAAAAAATTGGAAAGGATCTCTATTTATTATTATTTTAAACCCATTGTAATAAAAAGGAAGACTGGAAATAAAAAATAAACATATTGGGTTTAAAGAGCATTAAAACAAAAGTGCTGAGGCCCATCACTGATGGCAATCACCCAGTAACCATTCAGTATTTTAATTACCAAGTGGATGATCTGGGAGTATCCCTCATAAAATGTTATTGTACTGACACAGGACAAAGATATCTTGTGATCTCTGTGGGATTTAATCCGCTGCTATCTTGCAAAGAAAACAAGCTCAGCGCTTTTGCCAAAACAGCCGCCCGCTACATAGTCATCACCTAATGGAAGCCACTAGAGGGGGAATAGATGGGGCTTTTTCTTATGGAGATGCTGTCAACTACCCCCCTGGGCTAAAAACAACAAAATCTACATCCTGTTCAACCGAAGTGCTTCTCACGCTGATCAGACATAGCATCGTCATCAATAACGGGGAGAAGAGATTAGTGCATCTTCTGCTGAATAAAAACTAAGAAACAAAGTGTTGATCAGCATTGGTGTCACCTGTAAAAGCTTACAGGAGGAGGTGACAGTCTTCTTACAGCGTCTATTACCAAAATAATCTCTTTTCTGTGGGATCATATTTTGGTTTGAATCTAGAAATAAGCACATCTGTTCCAGTTTTTAACCAGGTTTGGTCAAATATTTCATCATGAATAAGAAGGAAGTGATTTTTTTTTATACTTGGTGGTAAATTAACAGATACAGATCTTACAGAGACCAGGCAACACACACTGTAAAAAAAAAAAAGTCCAGTGAACTTAAAAAAGTAAAGCAACCAGTTGAAATACAATTTTAAGTTCAGTCAACTTTTTAGGTGCTGTTTTTTCTGTATTAACTCAACATTTTGCAAGTTAAAACGTTCAACTGACTTAAAACTTTAAACTCTCCAAACAAATTGCAAGTTGTATTTTTAACAGTGCACCTGTCTAAAACATACAGGTTACTATTTATAATAATAATAATAATGTATTGAACTTATATAGCGCTTTTCTAGACACCCAAACACGCTTTCACACACTCTCACATTCACACAGTGCTAGTGATGGTAAGCTACTTGTAGCCACAGCCGCCCTGGGGAGGTCTGACAGAGGCGAGGCTGCCATTTGGTGCCGCCGGCCCCTCTGACCACCACTAACACAGGCAAGTTGGGTGAAGTGTCTTGCCCAAGGACACAACAGCAGGATACCCCTGGCGGGAGCTGGAATTGAACCCATGACCCTCCGATCATGAGGCAACCCGCTCTACCACCTGAGCTACCGCTGCCCCAAATGGACCAAATGGCATCGTTTCCTTTACCTTTTAACAGGTGAAAGTGGAAATAAAATTTCTGCTATTGTTCTAGTTTATTCTGACGTTTTCTTTTAGTTTGGAAATGACAGAGAAGCATTAAAATTATTTCTGGACAAATGTATGAAGACATTAAAACAGTTTTTATTCTCAGGGGGGTGAAAGTTTATTAATTACCTGAAGTTCAAATTTGGAAAAGGTCGAAATAACAATGTTATTTCTCTTAATTGTTTTGTGTGTGTGACTCTCTAAAGAACATTTCAAGTTATTCCAAGTTATTTATCTAGTTTATTTTTGTCATATTTTTCTCTTTTATTGTTGATATTGGTTGTTTGTGGTTACTTTAGTTCTTATTTTTTGTATTTTTTCTTGTTGAAACCATTTTTCCCCTTTCTGTCACAAAGAAACCTTCTACCGGGATTACTAAAGTTCACCTGAATCTAGTTATATTAAGTAAAAGTGTGTTTAAATGTCTGCAACATTTTCTGTCAGAACTAAATGCTTCTGCTCTAACTCATTCTCTGCCTTTGACAACTAAAGTCGTCATTTGCATGTTTTTACTGAGTGGGCGTTGGAACGAGCCCCCGCACCAGGAGAACAAACATCCCAGCTCTAAAGCCGATCTTCATCCGCATACGTCACACGTCACTTGACCTGGAAGCAGAAAATTCATGTGTTAGGAGATCGTTTTGGGCTGCTGCTGTAATAAAAGAGCGAGGCGCGAACCGGAAAAACTTCTGACGATCACAATTCAACAACGGATTATGAAAGAACGGATAACGTTCAAAATGTGCGGATTCTTCCTGATGTAAGAGATGAGTCTCCATTTTGTTTTGGTTGTTTTGAGGTTGGCATCATCGTGGAGCGCACTGTTCTGTGACTCTTCCAAAAAACTTTGAAAACTCTAAAAAATGCTGGCAGCGAATGGCTTCTCTGACCAGGAAACGGCTGGCAGTGAATGAGTTAATAATTAAGAAGCTGACAGAACCATCAAGGTTCAAAATTGTGTTGAAAACCATCCAATTTATTTTAAAATCACAGAAATCAATTTGCGTTTACGTTTAGTAGGCCGGTCCAAACTAATCTCAGTTTCCCCAAACTAAGGCTGTTCAAAGAACAGTCTACAGACTATTACTGTAAATATAAAAAAAGACATTTGTAGTTATTTCTTTCTTTGTTTTATGTATTTGTCTTTACAAAAACCAACGAGAGTTCAAAATAATGGTCAGTTACGACATTGCCACAAAACGTTCAGTCTTTATCTTATTCCACTGATTCATAATAATTCTTAAAATACAAAATGGTTTCACTCGTGAAGCAAAGGCATACATATTTAGACCTTCCGTTGAAGGGGTTTCAGGTAATGGCAAAGAAATGTCAACAGGTGCGCCATATTGGACGGATGACGTCAGCTGGGAAGAGCTGCAGGTTTAACAGGTTAAAAGCAGTTCACGGTTTACGTTTGCCAAATGAATTGATTTTTTTTCTTATCCGTGGCAACAAACCTCAAGTTGGATCATTTAGAAACTTGATAGTTAATTAACACAACTGTCCTTTAAAAGTGATAAAAAAATGATATTTTGTTCATATAACAGGAAATTAAGAGGTTGAAAGGAATTGGTTTCGTCATATTTATTACAAATTAACCCTTTGATGCATGAATTATGAAATCTTCAACCATGATTTTTTAAACTTTTTTTTTCATTCATCTGTAGGTGTGAATGAAACAAATTTCAGCAAATATTATTTGTAGTATTTTGTTAATTTACAAATAATTTATTACATGTCCATCTCAGGGGACAGCGTGCATTCTGAACACGAAATATGTTGGCTTGACTTACTGAAGTCCAAATGAAGGAGCTCAATTGCAATAAAGTCTTCAACAGCTGTAAAATAAACAAATAACAATTTTGAATACCTGTCCACTGTATAGTGACCATTATGCATCAAAGGGTTAATGTAAAATTTTATGATGAAGCCTGTTTATTCTTTCTATTTGGTTGATTTAAGTAATTCCTTAATAACGTGTTGTGTTTGCTAAAAGGAAAAAACTATTAATAACTGCAAATGTCCCACATAGTTCATTTTTCTCACTACATTTTGCATTTTGATCATTGGCAACCTTTTGAATCTCAAATGCACTGAATCTATTTTGGCAAAACAAACAAACAAAAGTACTTGTTTGTCAAAAGAAGCAAACAAAAAGTACTTTTTTTTTTCAAATATGCTGAGTACACATTCTGAGGGGAAATACTTGGTTAAAAATTGTAGTAATAAACTCAGCTCATAAACTCCTGCCAGCTCTTCCACCTGTTCTTGGTGGTCCTGTTACAGATTTTAATCCAAATCACATTTGTAGATGTTTGCTGAAGGGGAGAGGAATAAAGTTTAAACAGTTTTCCATTGTGAAGTTAGAAATGAGGGATTTTTCTCCTGCGGGAGTTACGCACAGGAAGTGGTGCGGTTTGGACAGATGACTGACAGCCCAGTGACATCACTGTAGGACAAAAAGCGTCGCAGGGGAAAGAGAAGGCACCAATCAATAGACCCGCTCCGGAGAGCTCTCCCTCTCCGAGCACCAACTTCACTGCGCTCATCTCTCCACGAACATCGCGCGACGCTCCACGTTTCTCCACTTTCAGCTTTTCTTTTTTCTAATTTTAAAAATGTCCAGACAAGCTTCCTCGCACTTAGTTCGGCTATGCCTGCGCGCAGCCGCTTCCTCGTAGACTTAATTTTTCTACTTTTTTTCTTTCCTCTCCGGACTGGGCAAGACCCGAACCCGACGCGCAGCTGGTGAGAATATGTGCGAGAAGCGATCGGCGGAGGGCGCGGGCTGTTTTCGGTCCCCCAAGCAGAAGCAGCGTGGATTAAACACGAATTAATGTGGAATTTATCGGAGCTTAAAGGTGGAACGACGACCGGACACCGCGCGTTCTCGTCAGGTAAATCCCTAGAATAAAGAATAACCATCGATGTGGAGGTTTTTAACCTGAATCCACACTTGGACTGAACACAGAAAGGTCACTTCACAAGTGACAGCTCATTTGTTTCTAATAATAAATTCGTGCGTAAAGCCTCCGCCTGTTGAGCCACGGAGAAACAGAAAATGAAAATAGAGGTAAAAGTTGTCTGTGTGGAAGTTGTTTGACTCCGTCTGTGTTTCTGATGCCTGGCTGTGGGGCACACGTCAGATCTAACACCTGCAAGCCTCTTGAAGTAACTATCCTTTATGATTACATGCAAACAGCGCGCACTGGGACTGGAACTGATGCGTGTTCTTCCTTTGATCCTTCTCTCTGCATGGACTTTCATATCTGCAACAAGATCTCTTATCTCTTCTCGCTGGAGACCTTTTGTCTGCAGCGTTTCCCTTCAAATCCTTTGATTTGTCTGTTTAATCCACCTCTGTCATTAGTTTTTCACCTTGATATTTTATGTTAGGGTTCATGTTCAACCCAAACTAGAGGAGCAGTTTAGCCTCTGGGTTTTTCTTTCTTTCTTTCTTTCTTTCTTTCTTTCTTTCTTTCTTTCTTTTTCTTCTGCACTTCAAAGTGAAGAGGTGTCTCCCCCTTTTTAACCTGCTCCCCTTCAGTTTTACGCTCTGAGGGGGGATTTGGGAACTGCTGCCGCGAGAGCCTAGCTGGGACCACCTCACGTCAATACCACATTGCCTGCCAGTGTATTGACAGAAACCAACTTTCTCCACAGGGACTGACTGATCATGGTCGCCGTGGTCCGCTCTCTCATGGTACTGATGCTCGCTCAGGTGCTGCTGGAAGGTGCTGCGGGACTCATCCCCGAGGTAGGCCGGAGGAAGTACAGCGAATCCGGGAAACAGACCCCTGAGCAGTCGGAGAGCTTCCTCAACGAGTTCGAGCTGCGGCTTCTCAACATGTTCGGGCTGAGACGCAGGCCGACCCCCAGCAAACAAGCCGTGGTGCCCCAGTACATGGTGGACCTTTACCGGATGCACTCTGCGAACGGAGACCACAGCACTAAGCGGCCCAAGAGCATGGGGAAGCACGCAGAGAGAGCCGCCAGCAAGGCCAACACGATTAGAAGCTTTCACCATGAAGGTATATATTAGTGACATACCTTTACATGTCTCTCTCAGACAGCGCAAACCTATATTTAAACATGACTCAGATCGTCAACACTGAACTTCAGAGTCTTCCCTGTTTTATGAAGGTTTAGTCATTTACAGATGACATGCTCCGAAGGTATTTGCAACCTTAAAAAATGCTTTAACTTAAAGATTGATGCACAAAAATCACATCAAAGTTGACTTTTCTCACCTAAGCAGCAGTGCAACATTTAGACAAACATCCCTCCAGCACAGCTGTCACAGGCTTCAGAAACATCAGGGGCGGCGGTATCCCCGGGGTCATTAGTTTCTTAATAATTGATGGTGTTTGCGTGGGATTCTGAAAACTGTTTTTCCAGACACGCACCACGGGAGCAGCATAAAGGGCGGTGCGCCTGTGCGCAGGTGATAGACGTCACCCTGCAACTTCAAAAAACAACCGACATCAGAGCAACACACACGATGACGAAGTCACCGTGTCAGACTGAGTCACCTTTAACAAGACTCAAATTAGCTCTTGGTAACGCCGTGGAGGAGGCGTGGCTTCCCTTCTTCCTGTTGCTTCCAGTTGTGCATCATTACGCGTGAACCAGTTTGGAGAAGACAGCGATAGTTGAACTACAAGTCTCAGTTCAGTTGAATTTAAAAACCTATATTTAAACATGACTCATTCACCTCTCGGATGAAAATAAACGTTTTGCAGACTCTGGATCAGCTGTTAAAATGTGGATTTAAACAGTATTTTAACAAAGTAAATGATGCTTTGTTTATAACAGCTTTAAAAGCAGGAGCACTCGATGTTTACCTTTTTGTATAATAAACATCTTATTCCCGGTATAGTAGATTTGCACATCTATTTATCTTAATGTGACCCACGTTGCTGGGTCCATTGGGGCCCTGCGCAGAGTCCTCATACAGAGTCCTGTGTTTGAGTGGAGAAGTTTCTTTCCATCAGGGGTGAGTCAGAGGGGTGGTTGAGTGGTTGCTTGGGTGCTCTCCAAAGGCCTAGTGCAATGACACCAAGTGGCTACACTGACACACTACAAACAACCCTGAGCAGCAGGGTTGAGTGACTGCTCCCAGCTCACCGCTGGAAACCTCTGCACTCAGCCAACACACGTTGACATTTACACGTCTTCTCCTGGCTCTTTTCGTCCTATGCTAACAGCCGCGCGGTTATTAGGCTTCCCGTATCGCGTCGAGGGATTGTTCCCCCTGTAATAAGCACGGATCTACAGATGTTAATGCAGCACATCAAAGCAAACAGCTCCAAGCCTTCGTCACGTCTGCCACGCCATGCTCCTTTCGCTCGGACAATTGGTTTTCAGGAATAACTCGAGTCAAATAGAGCCTTTCCACCGTAGCACAGGAAGCAGCTGCCAGAGATGGCCGATCCAATATTAGCATCTATCTTTTGTTTTGGCGAGTGGCACAAAAATAAAGCTGTGGAAATCTGTGGTTCGCGTGCTTTTGACAAGCATAAACTTGTTCACACAGCAGTTCCAGACCGAGATCGAGAACAGTTGCAGAAAGGAACTGAGAAAACGGTGACAGAGAAGACAAGAGAAGAGGATCTCTAAAAGGACGGAGGGGAAAGAGGGGGATTTGGGTGCTGATAAAAAACAAAAAAAGAAGAGTAGGATTGGGTGAAGAGGAGCGAGAATGAGAGAGGGGGCTTTCCCACATCAAATGAGTAGTGATGGGTCTAATTGAGGTCTTTGTGCCTCTGGAGGGGGGTTTAGGACCAGATCGTGGAATTTCCTAAATGGCTCCTTTGAACAGATAAGAGTTTGAGGTTTGCGCTACTTTGCCGCACAAACCAGATTAAACTGCATGTCTATGGCTTGTCTATGATCTGCATGAAGTAAAAGTTCAAAGCAGGGCCGCCTCAAAGCAAATTGTAGCTTTTACCAACACTTCTGCCATTTGCACCACAGAGGGGAATGCCAGCGGACTTAAGTATACGCTTAACAGTCACAGGAGATGGAAAAGAAGGCCCTTCCACGTTTCTGGCTGATAGAAGAGTCTAAAACATCTGTTTATTGATTCTCTCTGTTTTTGCAGCCGAGTGTTTTAAATGCAGCATTCTCCAGGTGGCTTAAGATTTCCATAAACGCTAGAGTGACATTTGAGGATTATGTTTTCACCCTTTCTCTGCGTCCCGCACTCGTCTTAGATTATCAATGAAGTGAAGGAGACCTAAGTGAGCCGTGTCGAAGCAGGGTGATGGCTTTGCTTCATCTTATCAGTAAATGGAAGTGCATCGCTTTAATCCTTTGACATTTAGCCAGGCGATTTAAAAAACCCGACAGTGGTGACGGCATTGCGTCATAATGAGCATTTGCCTGCTATTACGCTGAGTCATGCATGCAAAGGCTTGATATACTATGTGTTTTACCTGCTTGACAATGGCCCACACCCACTCTCTGAATCAGAATCAGAAGTTTTTATTGCCATATGTGTGCCAAGTCACAACATTAGGAACTTGCTGTGGTATTTTGGTGCAGAAGGCAAGATAGAAAAAAAATTAATTAAGAGATAAGCAAATATTACTAATGACTAAGACTCTGTGACCACGTGACAGCTTCACTGCCTGCGCAGAAGGAAATTCTTTTCCTGCTCATTCGCGGTTTATTACGCCAGCAGCTACTCGAGGCGTGTGCCGGTTGTCATTCTTGTGTCGTACGTGAATTCTTTGACACATCATTGGAATGCATTTGAGAACACCGTCATCTGACATGCTGGATCTGCCTTTTGTTCTCTCTAGAGTCCATGGAGGCCCTGAACAGCCTGAAAGGCAAAACAACCCAGCAGTTCTATTTTAACCTCACGTCTGTGCCCGATGAGGAGCTCATCACTTCTGCGGAGCTGCGCATTTACAGGGATCAGGTGATGGGAGCAGCAGCCCCCAACAACAGCAGCACTAGTGGTGGTGCTCCTTCCGGTGGCTTCCATCGTATCAACATTTACGAGATATTCAGAGCTCCTGCCGCTGACGGCGCTGAACCTCTAGTACGTTTGCTGGACACCCGGTTGGTGCGGGAGTCTTTAAGCCGCTGGGAGAGCTTTGACGTGAGTCCTGCTGTTTCTCAGTGGACCTCAGGGAATGGCCACAATCACGGCTTCATGGTGGAGGTGTTTCACCCGGAAGGAGGTGAGAGTGACGCTGAGCATTCCCAGAGACGTAATAGGCATGTTAGAGTGAGCCGGTCCCTGCATCAGGACCAGGACTCGTGGCCTCAGGCTCGGCCCTTGTTGGTGACGTATGGCCACGATGGCCGTGGGGACTCGGTACTCCACACGCGGGAAAAAAGGCAGGCAGCACTCCGCAAACAGCGCAGGAAGAACCACAATAAGGCAAGCTGCAAAAGGCACGACTTGTATGTAGACTTCAGTGATGTGGGATGGAACGAGTGGATAGTGGCTCCCCCTGGCTATCATGCCTTCTACTGCCAAGGGGAATGTCCCTTTCCCTTAGCAGACCACCTCAATGCAACCAATCACGCCATCGTGCAGACTCTTGTCAATTCAGTCAACTCGAACATCCCCAGAGCCTGTTGTGTTCCCACCGAACTCAGCCCCATTTCGTTGCTCTACCTGGACGAATATGAGAAAGTCATTCTAAAAAACTACCAGGACATGGTGGTGGAGGGCTGCGGCTGCCAGTAAGACATTTTTGGGTATGGATGCAAAAATGGTGAACACACAACACAAAGACTGGAAGTGATTTTAGGTTGCTATGGACACCCAATATCCCATTGAAGATGTTTATTTATATGAAAACACAAAACAGAGCTATTGTGGGGGAAAACTATATATGAATATATTTATGTCTACTTAAAGTTGGGAAAAATAAAAGATTTAATCAAAAGAATATTCCTTTACTGGTTCTGAAAATGTATTTCTGATGTACATTTTTGAAATGGGTGCAATACCACATGAAGTATATTGCTCAGATTTTTATTTTGTATTTATTTCTATTATAACCACTTTATGTGTAAATAAATAATGTGTATTTATCATAAAAACATGTGGTGACTCAAGTTCAGCTACACCAAGCCCGCCGTTCCCAAAATATTTGTGTTAGGAGTGAGGTGACAACATGTGTCTTGGTGTGTTATTTAAACCCCAAAAAAGATTATTCACACACACACAAAAAAAAGACTTCACTAATTGCAAATCAAGCAAAGAAGTCTTTTGGTAAATGTAACTGGATAGCAAAAACAACGTGAGGGGACTAGATTGGTGGAGTAATGAAGTGCAGTGAGGTGCAGGGTCATAGGGCCTTTTCCATGCCCACCAATGTAACAGACTCCCATGGGAGGACTGGAAAAACAGCTGGGTATGTTTTTATGCATTACATGTCACTGCAAAGATCCCTGGGAACAATCTTTCAAGAGCAAGCTCCGATGTTTGTTCTGTTCCCGACTACCACTATCAGATGAAAAAAAGAGAAACTCTATGCTTCTGTGGGAGGTCGGCAAGGTTTATTTACTGTAAGATTTGGCATTGAAAGATTGAAAAATGTGGTCCACAGACATACCAACAGCCCCAAAGCAAGAAAAGACTCTGTCACTACTTTAATTAATTTAGACAAACACATCTGCACCTGACTACATACTGCACATGCTCAGACTCCTGCCTCAAAAGTCTGGCTGCCTCCTGTTTGGTATGTTCAAATCACAAGATTTACTTCTTAATAAAAAAAAACAGATTTAGATGATACACTGTAGCAGGTGGAACAGCACACAAACCAAACTGCAACTTCGATAGGGTTAGGGTTAGAAAGGGAACTATCTTTCTCCTCCAGTGATGTTCTTATATGTTTAAAGGTGTGGAACACTCATTTAATTCATGTACTTGCAGTGGTCTCAAAGTCGTACTCTGGTGAAAAATAAAAGCACTAGCGCGCCACTTTCTTGAACTAGAAGTGAGCCAGATCGCAGCTGAGCTTCAGACTGCAGGATTAGGAGCCTCATCTCTTCATATTTGAGCTAGCTTCTGATTGGCTAACAGAAACGCTACTCTGAAACGTCCACGTTTAATCTCCAGAAACAACACAAGCCTGGAGGAGTTCTGCTGTGTGGTGGAGTTGCTAATGCTAATGGCTAGCCTGGACCTACTAAACCAACAACAGCCTTGAGTCGTGAGTCAAGATGGGCGAGTCCGTTAATGTTAAGTAAAGCCGGGCGGACACTGTGCGACTTTTCCACTCGTAGCACTCAGCTTCAGCTCAAACTGTACGACTTCATCGCAGGGCAGATCTCACGAGTCATGTGCTCACACTGCACGACCCAGTTCTCGCATGCGATCTGACTGCTCACTGTACGTCTGGTAGCAACACGTCGGACCTAAAAATGTGCTAAAAATAGCAGTTTTTACTCAACACGTCAGACTTTTTTGTCTTGTTTTGCCTGTTGTCCTTCGGGAGTGCTGCAGGAGGACACACAGGGATTTATGGGGGTTGGATGAGGAAAACGAAATAAAGAAAGTAAATCTGTGTTTTGTGATCAGTTTAATTTGACATGAACACGACAAACACGCTTTCTTGACGATCTTTGTGAGTAAAAAAACGTGTAGAAATAAAAACGAACAGCGTGTGTTATTAGGGAAATAGCGGGTGAGCGGCGTTGATGCAGGATTGCGCATGCGCCGTGAGCAGTTCTGATACTTTTTGGGTCGCAGCTGCTCGCAGCGCCGCTTCAACAGTGCGATACCCTCACGAGGGACGAGCGAAATATTAAACACGCCAGAAGTCCGTGCGACCTCACGATTGCTGATCGGCAGCTGGTCACGTGGTGTTAATCGCCTCTCGTAACCCCCTGTACACTACACGACCGCTCGGCGCAAAACTCGGCCCGATGTCGTGGATTCTCGCACGACTGGAAAATCGGCTCAAAAAAGTGAAAAAGTCGCACAGTGTACGCCCGGCTTAACAGTGTGATGTAGGATTTTCAGATCCTATTGTTTCACCGTCTATTTTGCATCGGAAGCTAATGCAGGAGATAGGTGTAGGAGACTAATTTCTTGTTCACCTTGCATGAAAACTCTGACTGATGGATTATAATCAGAAATAAGATTTAAAAGCTGATTTTTCAGTGTTCCACACCTTTATGAGTTCGCACACCGTTAACTGGAATTGACTAAAACTCCACCCAAACATAGACAAGAATCATTTGTGTTGCCACAACATCAGATCAGATAGTAAGAAAACAGAAACACAAAGAGTTTTGCGGCATTTGGATGACTGTGCTCTCTGCTGTGTTTGCATTAGAATGGGTTTGGAGGGATCACAGGGTAGCTGAAAATCCTCTAAATAGAACATTTAATGTGAGCGCACACTGGGACCAAGGAATGTTGGTTTTCAATCTCAGACACATGCATGCGCTTGCATGGAAAACCAACGTGGTTGTTTTTTCAATCATCTATTCAAGGATTTCCTGGTGGGCTTTTTTTCTTCAAAAACAAATGTGCATTGGACAAAGATATGCTTGTTACTCATATAGGAAATGTAAATGAAAACATACAGGAGCTGCACTAATGCTATTTCAAGGAGCTGTAAAAACACTGAAACATAAATTGAAAAAAGCTCAGTTTATGTATTTTAGTCATGGAGGTGTGTAAATCTGCGCAGCATTACGCAACATTTACCAATAATTCATCTGCATTCCTACAAATAATCTGCTCGTACCTCATCCGAGAGCAGCACGACATTAGCAAACTTCAGAGGGAAGTCACTTTGTTGGTACACTTTGTGAACGCCGGATAAAAATCTACGCTAAAAAACATCTAAACTCCACAACAGTCCTAACCACAAATTCCAGCAGCAATGTCATGAGTGGGATGTGGGGATTTTGTGTGTTTTTTTAAGTGTTAGATTTAGTGCCTTTATAGTTCAAGTCCATAAAGCTTTCATTGAGTTGGGTGGAAATACTGCTCCCAGAGTGGGCGACACATGGGCAGCACTCCCAAAACTCCCCCCTGCACCCCGTTCCACGTGAACTGGGTTCTAGCTGTACTCTAGGTGAACCAGTTCCACCACCACCTGGGGGTTTCTGCTTTTAGAGCAATGCTGGTATCAGACAGCTCCTGAGGGACCACTTCTTAACTTCTCACTAAGGAGGGAGGGTCAGGGGTCAAAGTAATAAGGACCAATTATCTCCACCCTTACCGACTGACTTCCAGGTTCATCACGTCGCCGTGGTCTAGCGGCTTCACGTGTGGTCAGCCCCTGGATGGAACTGTGTGCGTTTCAGGATCTGCTCTGTTCATCCTACTTGGGCACAATTGGTATTTCTTGACTGTTAAAAGAAAACGTAAAAGCGACCTAAAAGTTAGATTTGATCCTTTAAATTAACGACGAAGCAGCAAAGGGATTGGTGTACTTGGCAAGACCGTCTTCACCTGCTACACAGACGTTGACAAAGACACTAAAAAAAACTGATTTTTTCCCCCGTTTCCTCCTCCACGAACATCTGGCAAACCAGTTAAAGGTGTCCTTCGCTGTCTGTTTACACACAAACACACAACAAAGCAGCCACACAACTGATGTACATAACACTAGGAGCTGAGACCTACTAGCGTGGCAGGGCTCCTTCATTTTGTTTGTAGCACAAGAGACCACACCAAAAGTATCTGCAGCTACAAAACAACCCAAATCGTAAGGTTTTATAAAATCAGATTTCCAGATTCCTGGCTGACCCAGAATGGGAAAATATGCGGTTGTGCTACGCATCTTTGATGAAAACTCATGCGATCTCAACGGGCTCTGGGCCAAGGTGCGTCGTAAAAATTAAGAGAAGTGAGGAGAGACAGCTGCCACTTTGGAGTCTTTTTTTAAGTTGGGATCTTTTCTTCTTCATGTGCTGCACACACTAATTTTGGAGGTGGTGTACATGGTGTTTCTGTATTCCGAGAACAGCCAGTGAGATGACGTCCGGCATAGCTGAGACTGTGGCATCTGTGCTGCAGCTCTGAACACATCAAACAGAACAGGCGTCCGCAGATTCTAGAGGAGAGATGGAAATGACTTTTCCAGAACAACTGCATGGATGATAGCGCAAAAACAACCCTTTGCCCGTCCATCTTTTAAACATGTACTATTATGAGCATGTGTGTATTCTTGTTTAACTTTACATCATAACACATGTGTCACAATTACACCAAGAAGGTGTCCTAATTCCATTTTTGGTTCTTTTTAAAACACAGGAAAGGTTTTTCTTTACCTTGCTGACGTACGTTTCGTTTGCCGACTGCAAAACATCCTCAGAGCTGACGCTGATGGCGGCGTCACTTCCTGCTCCGTTTATCCGTTTAAAAAGAACCAAAAATGGAATTAGAAACTAAACACAGTAAGAACACGCCAAAGAAGAAGGT